CAATTTTCCTTCAGTTATTCATTTCTGTTTTCATTCTGTATGATCTGAAAGGTATTTTGTATGATTTCAATCTTTATAAAATTATTAAGTCTTGTTTTATGACCAAAACATAGTCTATCCTTGAGAATTTTAATGAACATTTGAGAATAATGTTATGCTCTTGATGGGTCTATTAGATCTCATTGGTTTATAGTGTTTTCTGAGTTCTCTTTTTCTTTATTGATTTTMTATCTGGTTGTTCAATCCATCATTGAAAATGGTATATTGAAGTCTCCAATCATTAGTRTAGAACTGTTTTGTCCTTTGATTCTGTAAATTTTTGCTTCATGTGTTTTGGAGCTCTGTTGTTTATATATATTTGCATCTTGATAGATTGGAAATTTTATCAATATATAACTTTCTTTTGTCTCTTCAAATTTTTTTGCTTAATATCTATTTTTGTGATAATAACTTAGCTATCACATCTCACTTTTGATTAGTTTTTAAATGGAATATCTTTTCCACCTTTTAACCTTTAAACCATTTGTGTCTTTATGCCCAAAATGAATCTCTTGTGGATAACATAGTGATGGATAATGTTATTTTATCCATTCTTCCAGTCTCTGTTTTTTAGCTGTTTTTTAGATTAGAGTTTAATCCCTCTACATTTAAAGTAATTCATGTTAAGAAAGAACTTCTACCACTTTGCTATACTTTTTATATGCCATCATATATGTTTTTTTTTTGTTGTTGTTGTTGTTGTTGTTCCTCAATTCCTCCATTGCTGGATTTTAAATTTTAGTTTATTTTTGTGCTATTCCATCTTTATTTCCTTCTTTCAATTTCCACTTTTGAATTATTTTCTTAATGATTGCCTTGAGGGTGACAACTAATATCTTAAACTTATAATAACCTAGTTTGGATAACAGTTTCAATACTGTACAGATACTCTATTCCCATACCTCTCCATCCTTCTTTCTTTATATTATTATTCTCACAAATTATGTTTTATCTGCTGTAGCCCACTGACAGATTTATAATTTTTTTGTGTGTGTATGCCTTTTAAATTATATAGGAAAACGAGAGGAGTTATAAACCAAAAGTACACTAATATTGACTGTTATAATTACCTCTTAGTGCTGTATTGATCTTCACAGTCTTTTATTTCTTAAGCTATTTAAGTAGTATCTTTTTACTTCAATCTGAAAGTCTCCCTTTAGCATATCTTATATGGCAGGTTTACTGGTAATGAATTCCTTCAGGTTTTTTTTTTTTCAATCTGAAATTTCTTAATACCTCCTTTATTCTTGGAGAATAGTTTTTCTGGTTACAAACAACTAACTGTCTTGATTGACAGGTTTTGTTTATTTCAGTACTTTAAATATGTCATTTCACTGCCTTCTGCCCTCCATGTTTTCTGATGAGAAATCAGCTCTTAATGTTATTGATTAAGATTATATGCAACATGTCACTTTTCTCTTGCTGCTTTCAAGGTTCTATTTTTGTCTTTTGACATACTATATAGTATGTTTCCATATGGATCTCTTAGAAGTTTATCCTTCTTGAAGTTCATTGATCTTCTTGGGTTTATGTCATATTTTTTTATCAAACTTGACAAATTGGTTTACCATTAGTTCTTCAAATATGTTTATGTCCTATCCATTCCTCTTTTCCTTTTGTAAATCCCATTATACTTACATTAGTATGTTTGATGATGTCCCACAGGTCCATCAGGTTTTGTTCATTTTTTCCTTTCTTTTCTTTTTCTGTTCTACAGACTAAATAACTTCAATTGCCTTATTTTCAAGTTCATTGATTCTTTCTCCTGCTTGGTAAAGTCTGCCATTGAACCCTTCCAGTGATGCTTTCATTTAAGTTATTGTATTTTTCTTTTCTTTTCTTTTTTTTATTTGTTTTAATTAGTTACACATGACAGTACAATGATCTTGACATATCATACATTTGAATCAGATGGGATATAAGTTATTGTATTTTTATCTTAGAATTTATATTTGGTTTCTTTTTTAAAATTTATTTGTTTATTCTAATTTCTTATACATGACAACATAATGCATTTTAATTCATATTACACAAATAGACCACATTTCATGTCTCTGGCTGTACAAAAGGAGAGTCACACCATTCGTGTCTTCATTCACGTACTTAGGGGTAATGATRTCCATCTCATTCCTCTGTCTTTCCTACCCCATGCCCCCTCCCTTCCCCTCCCTCTTCTTTGCCCTATCTAAAGTTCCTCTATTCCTCTCATGCTCCCCTCCATCCCCATTAAGGATCAGCATCCTCATATCAGAGAAAATATTGAGCATTTGAGTTTTGGGGATTGGCTTATTCACTTAGTATAATATTCTCCAACTCCATCCATTTACTTGCAAATGTCATGATTTTATTCTCTTTTAATGCTGAGTAGTATTTCATTGGGTAGATATCCCACATTTTCTTTATCCATTCATCTATCGAAGGGTATCCAGGTTGGTTCCAGAATTTAGCTATTGTGAATTGTGCTGCTATAAACATTGATGTGGCTGTATCCCTGT